AGAAAATAGTACTATCTCACTGTGGTTATACTTTGCATTTCCCTAGGGGCTAATGATGTTGAGTGTCTTCTCATGTGTTTATTTGCTATCCCTATATCTTTTTTGATGAACTATCTGTTCAAATCCTTTACCCCTTTTAAAAAACAAGGTGGTTTTCTTATTATCAAATTCTGAGAATTCTTTAGATATTCTAGGTATGTTTCTTTATAAGTTCTGTGATCTGCAAATATTTTCTCTTAGTCCGTGGTTTACCTGTTCATTCTCTTAACAGTATTTTTCAAAGACCAGAAGCTCTAGGCTCATGGTTGCCAAGGGAGAGGGGGGTGGGGGAGGGGTAGAGTGGAAGTTTGGGATTAGCATATACAACCTATTATATATAGAATGGATAAACAACAAAGTTCTACCATATAGCATAGGGAACTATATTCAATGTCCTGTAATAATAAACCATAATGGAAGAGAATATGAAAAGGGATATATATCCTATATATAACTGAATCACTTTGCTGTGTACCAGAAACTAACACAACATTGCAAATAAAGTATACTTCAAGAGGGCACTTTCCTGGCTGTCCAGTGATTAAGACTTTGCCTTCCAATGCAGGAAGCGCAAATTCAATCTCTGGTCAGGGAGCTAAGACAGAAGCAACAATGTAACCAATTCAAAAGAGACAAAAGGAAAAAAAAAGAAAAAAACCCTCTGATTTTAAATAAAGTATACTTCAATAAAAAATAAACTGAAAAAAAAAACCCAAACCCAAGAGCAGATTTCTTCATTTCAATGAAGCCCAATTATTCACTTTTTGCAGTTACAGACTGTGCTTTTGATGTTGTATCTAAGAACTTTTTGCCTAACCCAAGGTCATAAAAATTTCTCCTTTGTTTTCTTTTCGAAGTTTTGGCATTTTAGGTTTTATATTTAGATCTATGATCCATTTTTGAGTTAATCTTTGTGCATGGTGCAAGGTAGGGATCGAAGTTCTCTCACGCACACTTTTTTTTAATGAGTATTCAGTTGTTACAGAGCCAATTGTTGAAAAGACTATTGTTCTTCAGTGAGTTGCCTTTGCACTTTTGCCAAAAATCAGTTGACTATAAACGTGTGGGCCTATTTCAAGACTCTCAATTCCATGGATCTGTATGTCTAAACTTTTGCAGATACCACGTTGTCTTGACTACTGCAGCTTTATAGTAAGCCTTGGAATTGGGTACATGAGTACTTCAACTTTATTATCTTTTTACTAAATTGTTTTGGCTCTTTTACAAAATCATTTGGTTATTTGCTTTTTCACATGAATTTTAGAATCAACTTGTCAGTTTCTCTTTGAAAAAGCTGCTAGAATTTTGACTAGAATTGCATTGAATCTACAGACCCATTATGAGGCGAACTGACATCTTATTATTGAGTCTTCAAACTCATGAACACGGTATGCCTCTCTATCCATTTATTAAAGTCTAGATTTCTCTCAGCAGTCATTTGTAGTTTTCAATATACCAGTACTGTACATCTCTTGTCAGATTTACCTCTAAGATTTTTATTTTTCAGTTTTGATGCTCTAGCAGCTTCATCTTAATATGGAAAATAAGAGATGGATCACCATCTCTGCTTTTGTAATTTTTCTGTAAATATAAAGCTATGCCAAAATACAAAGTTGAGAGAAAAAATAATTCCTTGCCTTGGGGAAAAAAAAAATAAAATTGAGAGAGAGCAACAGAGATTAGTTCAGAAGTTTGGTAAAGAACCCACCTGCCAATGCAGGAGACATAGAGACGTGGGCTCAATCCCTGGGTTGGGGAGATGCCCTGGAGGAGGGCATGGCACCCCACTTCAGTCCCCTTGCCTGGAAAATCCCATGGACAGAGGAGCCTGGCGGGCTGCAGCCACAGGGTTGCAGAGTCAGACATGAGGGAAGTGACTTAGACACGCGCTCCTGCTTCCGCCACTTGGCAGTCCTCCAGGCAGCTCGTCTCTGTGCTTCAGTTCAGTCGCTAAGTCTCTGTCTCCACCACAAATACAGAGGCAAAGATTCCTTCTCTTTATGTTTTGTGGGCAAAGATCCATTCTCTTTATGCTCTGTGGAGGGATAACGCAGTCCTGTCCTCCTCCAATTCCTCTTTCCTAGGCTTTGGAGTGCAGGACAGGGATGTGGGGTTGAAAAGACATGTGGACTGCACAAGGGGAGGGTGTTCAGGTGACTAAGGGGGAGGCCCTTAGTTACAAGTCCCTTTTATGGAAGGGAGACTCTGTGATCTACCACTGCAAGTCCTTGGATTCTGGGATCGAAAAGGAGGCTGGAAAAGAATGGGTCTGGAAGGTAATATGAACATGCTGCTGCTGCTGCTAAGTCACTTCAGTCGTGTCCGACTCTGTGCGACCCCAGAGACGGCAGCCACCAGGCTCCCCCGTCCCCGGGATTCTCCAGGCAAGAACACTGGAGTGGGTTGTCATTTCCTCTCCAATGCATGAAAGTGAAAAGTGAAAGTGAAGTTGCTCAGTCTTGTCCGACTCTTTGCGACCCCACAGAATGCAGCCCACCAGGCTCCTCCATCCATGGGATTTTCCAGGCAAGAGTACTGGAGTGGGGTGCCAGTGCCTTCTCCGAATATGAACATGAGAGATGGAAAAATAATTTTTACTGAATCCAGTTCCTCCTCCTCTCTCAGCAGTTGTGGGTGAAGACCACTGAAAGTGGAGTCATCACTATCCATCTGTGCATATCCTGCTGCTGTTTTCCTTGGGATTTCCAGGGGCAGGGTCTGGCACTCTAGAAAGGGAAGAGGTTAGAGATGGAAAGAAATGCCCAAAGGGTTTTGTGATGTATTGGAAAGAGCTAGAGTCTAGCAGTCAGAAGATTTTATCTCAAATCCTGACTCTGACACTACTTCCTGGTACCCTTGGTCAAGTCACTTTCACTCTCTATAAAAAGAGGAGTTGAACAAGATGATGTAAAAGATCCCACTCACCTCAAAGAGCTTACTGTATTTCATGAGGAGAGGGACCATGTAATGTTTTTGTCTCCCCAGCATCTAGCACAATACCTGGCACATAATAAGTGTTCAAGAAATGCTGTGATTAGTGAATGAGTGGATGGGTCAAGGAGTGAACTAACCAGATACTAAAATGAAAGGGCCCAAAGGGAAGTTCTTAAACTCAGTCAGTTGGTGGCACCACCTCTCTATATAACCACAAGGGAGTGTTGCTAGTCTCAGATCAAGGGAAAGGATTTAGATTAGAAACACACAAAGGTTAAAAAAAAAAAAAAGAAAGAAATGATCAGAGGACCGGATATTTAAAATGGAAAGCAGAGCCCTGAAATTGACCCAGCTTCTGTTTTCCAAATCGAGGGACAATAGGCCCCACGCATTGAAAGACATTGTAGCTGCCAGATCAGCAAGGTGATGCTGGATGGCTGAAAAGCAAACTCAGTCCTGAGAGAGGGAGTGATTAACACAAGTCACACAGGGGCAGTCCCTGAGGCTGGGAGGCAGCCCCTGGGGCTCACCTGAACTTGGGCTGGGCACCCCCTTCACACCCATCCCTTGCCAGAGAACCCAAACATCTGGACACCCATTCTGAATGTCTTTCACTCCTGGGTCTCTCCTATAGGGTTTCATCAAACCCACTGCTGATTATCCTGAAAGGGTCCCTCTCCTCCCCCAGCACTCAAGGGAACTGAACGTCAAACATCTCAATTTGCAGGCAGAGGGCAAGAAGGTGGTTGAATATTTTTGAAAAAGCCTTTCTCCCTACCCTTCACCCCCATCACAGCAAATTCTGCAACGGGTAAGGATACAGGCACAAAAGGCGAGGACCCACTGAAGCACAGATCATGGGGAGACAGGATGAGGCATGGTGAGAGTATATCTCAGCATCCACAGCTCTGAAAAGGGGTTTGGGGTTTGGAGGAGACAGTGGGGGTTACCGCTGACCTCTGCCTCCACAGATTAGAGCAGGGAAGGGTGAAATGGCCGTGGGAGTGAAAGAGGTTAGCAGGACTTCTCAGCAGGAAGAGAACTGAGGGCATGCCCCAGGCATGCTCAGGTCCTCATAGGCTCCAGTCGGGAGGGAACAGGAAGCTGTGACTTCCTCTCCCCTTTTCCTCCCTGCCCTTAACCTCAAGGTCACTGGCTGCTGCAGTGAATTCCAACCTGTTTTAGTTGGCATTGTTCCCCAGGCACGATGATCATGGCTGCTCAACATAAGAAGGGAGTAACTTGCTCCCTCCTGCCACAGATGCCCCCAACTTTTCCTTTGAAATAATAATCATATTCATGCAAATAGTCATGTACAAGGGGCTTTTTCACAGATGTTACCTCATTTTGTCACACCCATTCTGTAAAGCAGAGACTTTTATCTGAAAATTTTAAGCAAGGAAACTGAGGCTCAGGAGAGTAAAGTAATTCACCCACAGTCACACAGCGAGCAGGAAGCAGCCCTGGGACTCCAGAACCTTTCCTCTTTCTCTCAGATACTATTCTGAATCTCTGCCTGTGTGCACACTCCCAGGCCCCTTCCTCCAGGCCCCCAGGGAACACTTTCTGCAGAGAAGGGGGCCCCTGAACACCAGAAGTAGAGGGGGTCTCCAGTTTGGTTCCTGTCACCCCTGAGATGGGGTATTTGTGGCCTCTCCCTGAAGTGGAGGTGTGGGACTGCCCTCCATAGCAGGATCATTCTCCCTTCCCCCTTCCCTCTCTTCCACACGGGGCTCTACACACACAGAGACGCACAGATGCATGCACACACACGTTTGTGCCAATGTTCACTTCTCCCTCACCTGCCCCACCCACCACCAAGACCGACAGAGAAGAGGAAGGCTGTCCTGTCCGGCCACAGCCCGCCCCTGAGGTGTGGGCGTGGGCTGGCTCTCCAGGCAGCCAGCAGCCCTGAGAGCAGCAGACAAGCGCTCTGACCCACAGTGTCCTGCTGAGCGCCTTAGGTGCCTCCTGCCAGTCTGGTAGGCACTCGCTGGCCCCTCCGCCCAGCACCACTGACGTCGGATGCCCTGCGATGCCCACGCCCAACACCTCTGCCCCCCTGCCCGCTTTCTGGGTCAACGCCTCTGGAGGCAGCATGCTGAGTGCTGCTGATGCCACGATGCCTGTTGGATTCCTAGCCCTGAGGGTCTCAGTGGCCCTGGCCTATGGGCTTGTGGGGGCTGTCGGCTTGCTGGGAAATTTGGCCGTGCTGTGGGTGCTGGGTAAATGTGCTCGGCGAGCCCCTTGCCCACCTTCTGACACTTTTGTCTTCAATCTGGCTCTGGCAGACCTGGGGCTGGCACTCACCCTCCCCTTCTGGGCAGCCGAGTCGGCACTGGACTTCCACTGGCCCTTCGGAGGTGCCCTCTGCAAGATAGTCCTAACGGCCACCGTCCTCAACATCTACGCCAGCATCTTCTTCATCACAGCATTGAGTGTCGCCCGGTACTGGGTGGTGGCCCTGGCTGCAGGACCAGGCACACACCTCTCACTCTTCTGGGCCCGCGTGGCCGCCCTGGCCACGTGGGTGGCGGCTGCTCTGGTGACGGTGCCCACAGCTGTCTTTGGGGCCGAGGGCGAGGTGAGTGGCGTGCGCCTGTGCCTGCTGCGTTTCCCCAGCAGGTATTGGCTGGGGGCCTACCAGCTCCAGAGGGTGGTCCTGGCCTTCATGGTGCCACTGGGCATCATCACCACCAGCTACCTGCTGTTGCTGGCCTTCCTGCGGCGACGGCACCGGCGATGGCGGGACAGCAGGGGCGTGGCCCACTCCATCCGCATCCTTCTGGCCTCCTTCTTCCTCTGCTGGTCCCCCAACCATGTGGTCACCCTCTGGGGTGTCCTGGTGAAGTTTGAGCTGGTGCCCTGGGACAGCACTTTCTACACTGTCCACACCTATGTCTCTCCCGTCACCACCTGCCTGGCGCACGCCAACAGCTGCCTCAACCCTGTGCTGTACTGCCTTCTCAGGCGGGAGCCCCGGCAGGCCCTGGCAGACGCCTTCAGGGAGCTGCGAGCAAGGCTGCAGCCCCAGGGTCGGGGCTGGGTGGAACAGGTGGCCCTAAAGGAAATGGGCAGGCGGTGGATGGAGAGCACCCCTCAGGAGGGTGGCCTTTGTACCATGCTCACCAACCTGGACAAAGGGACACCTGGGTGAAGGGAGCAAGTTAAACCCCCTCCTCTTTCTGGTTATCTGCCAAGTGCAGGATCCATGCATCCTAGGGAAAGAGAGGTTGGCCTCTCTGCCTTGATACAATGCCCTCAGGGAAAGTCTGATCTTTGATCCCCAGCTCCGCTTGTGGGGAAAGGCGGGCAGCCAGGGCCCAGGTCAGGACTGGGTACAACCAAGCCCAAGTCTCCACGTGGCAATGGGAATCTAAGAATAAACCTCTGGATTATCCACAAAATGTCTGCACCTTTCATCTCAGTTCCACCTCCAGGTCAGTGAGGCCAAAGGATTCTTTTCCCCTTTTCTGCCTTCTGTGAGAATTCCCAGGAAAATTTCCCTATGGGTTCTAGACTAATTGAGTCATAGGTCAGTAACTATGACCCTCTGTCCTCTCCATCTTCCCTCCACCTCAAATGGGGTGTACCCTTGTCCTTCTCTGGTGCTGAGGCCAAAAATGCCCTTCTCCCTTGGCCATCTCTACCTTCTTACCATCTCGTAGCACCCACAGAAACTTGGTGCCCACAGACACCTCCGAGGCAAAAGAGTGGTTCCCCCTGCTGTCTGCAGGATCTTGCCGGATCCCTATCTCCAGCCAAGCCTGGAGTGCAAACCCCTGCTGCTGGCTGGGAGTACCTTGTCTCTCCTTAAATCAGGATTTGGAGGAAGTGAAGATAAGGACAAGCTAAGGACATGGGTGGGACATAGGGAGGTGAGATTCAGAAAGGGGTTGGGAGAAGAGGAGGCTGAAGGTTCGGATGTGTGCATGCTCAGGTGGGTCCAACTCTGCGACCCCATGGACTGCAGCCCACCAGGCTCCTCTGTTTATGGGATTTTCCAGGTAATAATACTGGAGTGGGTAGCCACTTTCTTCTCCAGGGGATCTCCCTGACCCAGGGATCAAAACCGTGGATTCTTCACCACTGCACCACCAGGATACCAGGATGGAAGTGCAGAAGGAGGTGTTAGTCTTCCTGCTGTCCCATGTTCTTAGCTCAGAGCATCAACTCAGGTGTCAGAACACCTGGATTCACCTCCTAGGTCTGACACTATCCAGCTGGGGGACCTCAGTAAGTTAAATACTTCTCTGTACCTGTCTTCTCAACTTAAGTTGGGCTGCTAAGGATTTAATGGTGCCTGGAATAGCTATTCTTACACTCCATGTGGGCTTACCAGGTGGTACTAGTGGTAAAGAACCCACCTGCCAAAGCAGGAAACTTAAAAGATGCGAGTTCGATCCCTGGGTCGGGAAGGTCCCCTGGAGGAGGGCATGGCCACCCACTCCAGTGTTCTTGCCTGGAGAATCCCATGGACAGAGAAGCCTGGCGGGCTACAGTCCATAGGGTCACAAAGTGTCGAACATGGCTGAAGCAACTTGGCACGCACGCACACCCCATGTAAAATGGAAACAGAGATAAGAAAAAGGAGGAAATGAGAGGGGTAACTGGAAGACAGGGATTGGGAACCATAAAGATCTTTTTACACGTTCTGGAGTGAAATTAAAGTCACAAAAGGAAATGAGTGAGGGGGTGGTCCCTATTAAAGGTGTGCACTAAAGGGAGAGGGGTTCCCCTTTGGTTTCTATATCCACACATCCATAGATTTACAGCAAAGATAACAGTCAGCCATCAGAAGGGACTTTCGAGGTTGGGGGCAGCCCTTGGAAAGGAGGGAGGTGGCAGAGGGGACATGGAGTGGAGTTCCCACTGCCATTGCCCCACCGGACGCTCTAACAGGTCTTGTAACCCAGGACTCTGGCCACTCAAGATCCCAGGGCAATAGCTGGGCACAGCGCCTTCCGAGTGTGTGGAGCTACCTCTGGAAGCGGCACCCCCCTGCACCAGCTCCATCCAGTTGCTGAACAGAAAAGGCTCTAAAGTCACCCAATTCACATATTAAGCCATGCTAAAGAGATTTAATTAGCCTCTTGATGTTTAATTTCCTCTCTTTGATAATGTTTAAACTGGTATCAAAACTCCAGATCTGTTCCCAGCCAATTCTGGATGGAAAATCCTCCCCCACTCAAGTGCCCCTCTTCCCACCCCCTGCAGCTCCTCCAATGGCCCTGCTGGGGCTCCGGATATTGGCTCCTCTGGGGGCATCAGTGCTTTATGGGTTTTATGGGACCCGGAGGTAAATATTGACAAAGTTTAAACAGGTCCAAGTCAGAGGTGAATGAATGCATGCAGACTCCGCCCCCCCAAGGATGGGAGATGGAGGGGACGGTGCAATGGAAGGGAGGCACTACCGTGGCAAGAAGCTGGGATCTGCAGCACAAGCCTGACAGCTTTGAAACTGCCAGCAGGACCGACAGTAAGACTGTTTCCAAAAATGGGAACAGAGAGGGGACAACTGACAGATTGGCGAGAGATGTGACACAGGGATTAATCTTGGAGGAACTGTCGTGTCAGAGAAATTCGTGTCATGTTTTGGGATGGAGGCTGAGGAGGGGGTGTCAGTCCAGGGACAGCAGAGTTGTCCTGTGAGCCGAGGGCTTCTCCGAACTCAAGCTCTGGGCTCTGTGCCTCCAGGTTCCGGTTTCCTTCCGACCAGCACCCCTCACTGGACCTGTGAGAACACTGCAGGAGCCTGCATTCCCTTTCTGGTGGTCTTTGGATGCTAACATCCCCTTGCTCTGCCTTCACCGCGCGGGGTCCCAGCTGCTGAGCCATGGGCTAGTGTGTTGGAAACTTGGCGCCCTGGTGTGTTTCGGCAGAGCAACTGAGGAGGGGAAGTGGGGGACTGCAGCTGGGACTGGCCCTTCCCTGACTGCCCTCCTGGCCGGGCAACCCTTTGCAGCCTGGTTTCCTTGTCTCTAAAATGAGAACAATTGTTACCTCACAGATTCTGTGATGGATGAGAAAGCACCTTGTCAAGGCCAGATGCCAATAGAGGAGAATTACAGGAGTGGAGGGTGCTGGCTGCTCCCCCAAGCCTGCCCACACCCCATGTGATTTAATTCCTCTTTCCAGCTGAGATTGTGAGCCCCATTCTTCTCATCTTACTCCATGGGCTCCAACAGAGGTCTCTGCACTCTGCCAGCATTTACACAACGCTAGGCTCTCTTAGCCCCCCTCCCCCACAGCCCCAGAGCAGGCTATTAACCAAAAACAGGAAGCAAAAAATTAACCAAAAATAAGAACCGAAACCTACCTAATCTCTCACTGCCTCTCAAAATGCAAAGGGCAAGTGAGCAGCTCCTATGAGGGGAGAGGGGAACTGTCTTAAAGAGGTTACCCCAGGATTCTGACACTGTGAAGAACAAGGGTACAGTGAGGGCTGAATCTGAGGGAAGATGCTAAGCGGAACTGCAACTGTGCAGAAGGGGAGGGACGGGGGCAAGAGGCTGATGTAATTCTGAGCACGGCATGCAAATGAGATGAAAACAGGTTTTTTAATATTGGAACCCCCCAACAGCCACTGGGACCTAAGTGCCCCTTCATTTTTATCCTTGTGTTTGTGAGTATCACAGACGACAACAAAAACAGTTGGCACCATTTCTTCTGTTAGTGCCCTGGGTCTTCAGGGAGGCAGTTGCCCCTCCTGGGAGAGGAAGAGGCTCCTTTCGGAGGAACACAGGGCCCTCCCTGGCTGTCCTCATCACCAGCATCCTCAGAACTCGCAGATATTAACAGACAGCACTTCCTGGGGTTCCAGACTTTAATTTTCCCTGCTTTATCCCCCCACCCCCAACTTTCTATTTTTTTCCTTTTTTTAAAATAATCAAATTGGCAGAAAACTGGCTGGGGCTGGTGGCCACTGGGCAGGAGGTGGGGGATCCACTGAAAAACTCCCAAATTCACACTGAGGTTTCAGGTCATGGTTGCTGAGGTGGGGGGTGAGGTCAGGGTTTGGAGAGATTTCCCAACTCACCCTAAAACTGTTTTTCCAAATGACTGGGGAAGAGGTCAGAATTGGGGTCCCCCCATTACTATGGATGAGTGGAGAAGTCAATGCTCCCCCCATCCCTCAAGTTCTTCAGAGATTTAGAGATAGAAGGCTGCAATTTCTAATTGCCTACAATCTTCTCTTAAAAATATAAAACACGTGCAGTTGGCTTTGGTACAAAAAAAAGAAAACAACAACAAAAAAATCCATTCTGGTCCCTGTGAGTTTTTCCCTTCACCCTCAACAAACCATTATGGCCAACTCAACCTCTATTCCATCAACTCTAGGAAGCCAGGTTAAGTCCCTGGGGTTTCCATAGAAGACAGAGAGAAGGGAGAACAGCAGTAAGAGGTTGAGGGGAAGGGGAGAGGGACATGGCCCTGACCACAGCCCTTCCTGATGGGGCAGTAGGGTCTTATGGCTGCAGCCTCTCCTCAAAGATGGGTGTTGCTCAGGAGGGGTGTCAGGGCTAGAACCCAGCAGCTGCAAGGTTAAGCCTGAATAAACCCCAGTAGTGTTAAAGGACAAGGCCCCCTGATCCCTATGGCTTGGTTCCCATGTCCCTGGTCCTCTAAATCTCCCCTCTCCCTCCGTAACTAATAAACAATAAATAAATAAATTTTCCTAAAGTAGAGGGAAGAAGGCATGAAAAATCGGCATCTGCAGTGTTGCTACTGCATGCCACCAGGGGGCACTGTGGCCTAATTCCCCCAGCTTCCTAAATGGCCCCCACGTATCCAAGGATACCAAGAGCTGGCAAGGACAGTAAGCAGTTCTTTCAAATGTTCTCTCATCATTGGCAGATTGGAGTCCCCAAGGTTTGCCTCCCTCAGTAATGTTCTTCAGGGGACACCGGGTGGGGGGAGGGGCCCCCTTAGCTCTCGGAAGCTACAGGCTCCCCATCTCGGCTCTCAGTCTCTTCCGGGATGTCCTGCATTCGGGTGAAATCTGAAGGAGGAAGGGGCAAAGTCAGTGAGTGAACAGAGGCTCCTATGATCAGCTGAACCCCTGCACGGATGCCTCCCTGTCTGTGGGCTGAGCAGCTCAAAGAGCTGGGAGGGGTGGCAGAGGTCTGTAATCCCTGGGTGATGGGAAAACTGTTCACAAAATGATGGATCCATACCTAGGTACCTTGTTAAATATAAATATATAAGATACAATGTGGTTAATAAGATACAAAATATTAA